ATTATTATCATTGAATAATGTAAAATAATATTAGACATTGGTACTAATTCTTGTGTCATTAATTTATACTTTTACAAGAATGAGAAACTTTTCATTTCAAAGTACATTACAAATTTAAGTTAAAATTTTTCTTCGGAGAAGAACGGATTCATTTTGATAGAATTTGTTCACCTTGACAATTTAAAATATTACGGATTTACAATTTAGCCCCACTTTTTCCCATAATCCAATGACCACTACCCGACCCCAACAGGCGCATGTTCTCACTAGCTACCCCAAACACCACCAAACTTTATCGATAATGATTCAGTCAGTCCAGACGCGTTAATGTGTTTACCGATACATATGAAGCGCGAACTTATAGTATGTTTCGAAAATGAACAAATACTTGTCCTCCAGTCTGAACAACATCGTTTCTTGGGACTTGGAGACCTCGTGGGCAGCCAGGAGTTTACAAGAACAGTTGCAATTTATGAAGTATAACGAGAGTTTGAAAGCTGTTAATTCATATGTAAGCTTATTTCTTACACAAATCTATCCCACTATACACAATGTCCCAACCAAGTTGCACTTTTCCATAGCTTCATTCTTATTAATTTGGCGAAAATGTCTTTATTTGTTGAATGTTAGGTCAATTTTGATGAAAAATATTTTCACTTATACAGGACGTTTAGTTGTTTAATATATTTAACTACAATACTTAAGAAGAATTCTGCAAGTCAAATAACTCGATATTTTAAAAACCATTTGGCTAGACTTGAAGTCAACCTTTCGGTAAAATTGACTACGTGAACTATTTCTATAATTTAACATCAACATTTTTTGTTTCTATGACCGAACGCTTGAAAAAATACGAAGGTGTTTTTCGGAAACTAACTGTAATGAACAGAGAATTTTGGTCGACGTTAACAAAGGTTACAAAGTATTCATAACAAATTAACCAATAATTCTGTCAGAAGCCTTGTATTTTAGATTAATAAAGAATTAAAAAGAATAATATTTACATTAAAAGTACTTTATAGAGGGTATAATTTAGAGTAAAAAAAATTGGCCTTAGCTTCTCAGATTAATTCAAAACAATTAATCGAAAATATCTCAGTATTAAAATGCTCCCTTAAAAAGTTAGGAGTCTTCAAAGACATTTTTTCTGTTTAATTTTTTTATATAACTAATTTTTAACGATCTTAATGAAATTTGGCATAAGACAGTTTATGGGATAGCCAAACATCAATAGCAGCTTATTTTTTACCTAATGCTACAGTTTTCTCGTTTTTTGCTATTTTGTTTTTTCTTGTTGGCAGAAATTCTATGAAAACGCAGGTGTGTTTTAAAACAATGTTTTATCTGTATAAAATATACTTTGCATATTGGTAAAATATAGTGATAAATATATTTCAGTCAGTTTTATACGACAACTGAGTAGGTAACTATTTGTGTTAAATCTATTCTTATTAAAATTCACAGTTTTGTGAAATTTGTAATGAAATAAAATATTTTTTACGATTTGGACTCTATTAAAAAATCAATATCTACCGAGATATAGCCTTTTGAATTTGAATACGGTAATTTTCTTTAAATCGATAAAAATATTTCATTTGTGTACAAATTTAGCAAAGTGCTCTTTAATTAGAGTTCCAAATACCCAACTAAAATATAGAATTAAAAACTATGTATTTTACCGACATTCGACAAACAATATAACTTTTTTACAGTAAATCAACTAACGTTTCAAAAAAATACTTTAAAATTCATAAACCTAAAATATACATGAAAGAGGGTTCTTAGCGATCTCAGTGTGTAACAATATGCGTATATCTAACGTAGTTAACGTAAAATAATTAAACAAAAAAAATGTTCCAAGACTGACTAATGAAGCATTTTATACTCCGTTACATTCAGTTAATTAGTTGTTTTGGTGTGAGGAAGCTCTGGTTAATCTTTTTACGCCAATAAAAGCATTAGAATTTTAATTTAGCATCTTGTTTTGTAAATATATACATTTTATACGGGTACCTATTAAAAAAAATCAAATAGTATTGAAAAATTACCTGAATTTTCAGGTACATATACGTTCAGAAAGTAATCGAACTTTTTGAATTACGCCCTAATGGATATATTCAATTATATGCGGTTTTTCGCTGACTGCGCGTTACAAAAGTATATGGGAGCAGAAATGTTCAAAACGTATATGAAAGTGTGCAAGCGTGGGGGGGGTCTTGTGCCTGTGTTTGACAATCATGAACAAGCCCATTGTGCACAGAATACAAAAACGTCTGCGCAACTTTCGAAAAATTAGTGGGCGCCCGCGCACCCGCGCTGTTTGAAGGGAACTTTGGTCGACAGCATTGCGTTGTGCATAACCTCCTCTGAAACCACATGTTCTTGGATTGTTGTTATTTCTTTTAGTTTTCATGATATTTCATGATTTTCACGAAGTAATCCAGGACTGCTTCACGAAATAGAAACACCGCTGGGAAAAGTGTGTGAATAGGTGAATAGGGGAGGGGAGTACTTTGAAGGAAACAAGAACCAATAATAATGTATAAAATTAATAACAAAGTTTAAAAAAATAATATTTGATTGTTTTTTGAGCAGACCTCGTAAAACTGCATTATATGAAGTTGACTTATTTTCAAGTAAAGTCAAGTCAAGTAGCCGGGAAAATCTAATCATACTTCTGCCTAAAATGTTTGGTTTTCGGGTTATTCAACTGTTTTTGGAAAAAGTGAAGATTGAAGTGTCAACATCATTTTTACGTCAAAATAAATCATCATAAAATTCACGAGGTCAAAATTCATAATTTTCCTTCAACCCATTTCGGAAATACCTGAAAAAAAAAAAATTTTTTGAGGCCCCATTTAAGGGGGCGAAGCTCTCTTAGGAAGCATTTCTCGACCCATGTTTATAAGAAAAAATATTCTTATTTTTGGCAATAGAATCAAATTACACAAACCAACAAATTTTAACTTTTTTCTGGAAGCAGAAACTTGAATATACATATATTTCCGAAGGATTTAGGTGCGCTGAATCCGAATCTGGCAGCAGAATTGCTCTACCACGTCAGGTTTTTGAGATACCCTAACATAAAAGTGCAAAAACACTGATTTTCGTCATATTTGAGGTTATGTAGTAATGCCATCTATTATTTTTCAAAAAACTAATACATTGAATTTAAAAGTACAAGGCTCCCTCCTTCGAATGCCGTTGAGTTTACTCAAATATCTTTTTTTTTCATTGAGATATCACATGTTGAAATTTTTAAGTTTCTCAGTTTCCTAATATACGAAAATCTACTAAGGATCCCTTAGACATCAAGCAGATTTGGAGTTTGTGAGTTTGAGTTCGTATGCATTGAAGGTTTCTGAGTATGAAGTTTCTGAACTTCAATCAACTGTTGTACTTTTACTTTTAAATTATATGTATTTTTTTGAAAAAGAATAGATGGCATTACTACATAACCTCAAATATAACGAAAAACAGTGTTTTTTGCACTTTTAGGTTAGGATATCTCAAAAACCTGACGTGATAGAGCAATTCTGCGGCCAGATTCGGATTCAGCGTACCAAAATCCTTCGGGAATGTATATTTGTGTGTGTTCTTCTTGACCCTTGTTGACCTGTGTTATTGGACACTAATTATAAGACACCCTTTATATATGTAGATGAAGATTTGTGCAAGTCTAAGCACGTTGAGCATGTATTCATATTTTGTGATTAGAAACCTTGAATCTACTGTTGACAAATAGTACCTACTAATGTGTACTATACACTAGTATACTTACATATAAAATATTTGATCTTATATTAAGATAGTTAAGAGATGCAGAGTCTTGATATTACAAAAAGGAATATTACGACTCATCTATCTTTTTAAAAGATAATCAAATCCTCTCTGTCTTGAACGATGAATTCAGTTTAGCATAACTAATTTGTAATTCTTTTAACAAATTTCTAACGAATTAACTATACCCAACCAATTTTTTCATGGTTGGTTTGCTACAACTCTAAGTTTCATGCAACTGTGCCAATTACTCCTCAAACTCCAGACTTCGAAACAATTTCTTCCGGATTTTATTAACCGAAGTAATTGTGTTTTATCGAAGAGGATTCAAAACTTCCACCCATAAATTGAACGCTAGGAAATTGAATTTGACTCTGGACTACAAAGTTTCCCGTTGTTAATGCCACAACTTTTCCTTAACGTTGTATAAATTTTTTTAATTTGATGTTGAAGTAAATAAACTCAAACGTTTATTAATGTATCCAATTTAAAACAGAACCATCGACTAAATTTATACAAGCCTAATAAAGGGTCTAATTCTTAAAGAACTTATACTTATAACCAATAAGACTAAAAGACGAATTTGTTATCGTTTCGATAATGGGTAAAGAATATCCCATTTTCCAAGGGATTTCAAGATATCTCTGAAACTACTAGCGAAATATAAAAGTCTGATACAGGACAATGTACTAAAATATAAGTGAGTTGTAAAAACTGTTTTAGACGAACTTTGTGACGTTGAACTCATTGGTCATTATCAGTCGTTCCGGCATTATTAAAAAATATATATATGGAAGTGCATCTTTATCACCCTATAGCTTTGCCATTAAGAGTTTTTAGATCCATGTTCTTAGTAACCTTTTCTCTCTTTTCTTTTTCACCGTATTTGGCACCGTATATAATATATAATTAGTAAGAAGAAAAAAATTATATCTTTGCATTCTCTCACTTGTTGGTTCCCATCCCCAAATATCCTTAATTATTGTAGAAATACGGAGTCTGAATCTCATTCGAAACTTAGTTCGCAGAATTTAATTAATTCAAATTTGTATGGCTGAGAAAATTTTATTACAAGCAACGAAGAATTAGGTTAAATCCATGTATTGCCCTTTATTCACTGTATCAGTACCCAAGTTTAATACCTTTATTATATATTTGTTACATATACATATGTAGTGGTTTCTACTTGTAATTTCATTACAAACTCACTTTTGTTGCAGGCTCGCTTCCAGCAACGACAGATGCAAGAGAAGGAAGAGAAGCTCCTCAAGCTCTACGAAAATCAACAACAAAGAGCTTTTGAAAGAGTCAGCAGAGGAAGTGCGGGCAGTAACACAAGCGTGGGTTCCACCGGTGGCGGCAAAGTGCGACAGATGTTCGATGAAAGACGACAGAAGGCTGGCGTAGACCGAAGCTACCCGCTGGAACCCTTAAAATCTAAAACTAACTCCAGAGGGGGAAGTATGGACAGAAAAACTAATGTAACTACCACTTCTAGAACCACAGTAAGGTCTACAGTTCAAAAATCTGTCAGTTCTGTAAAAAACGGCAAATCGGTGGCTAGTAAACGAGAAGTCTTACATAGTATATACAATAATAATGATGGAGACGAGTCCTATGAAGAACACAGGTACGAAGACGTGAACAACGACATACTTAACGCAAACGCTGACAGGGGTATTATAGAAATGATGAATAGCCACAATATAAACGATAACTTAGACGATGAAGTGATGCCTAAGATTGGGTTCGATGAGGTAGATAATGTTTTGGTAAGCCCAAGAAAGAGTGACGTTGTTCCCAAGCCAGTACAGAACGGTGTGACGAAGAAAGTTGAAACGAAGTCTTCACTGAAGGCAAATGGTATAAGCCCTGCGAAAAAAGAGAGCAGTGTAAGTAGAGTTCAGTATATTTATTTAATCCTTCTTTGAATAATTTATTTCAATGATTATTATTTATACAGGATGTTCTATGTCGAAAATGATTACTTTTTCTTTATATAAACATGGGTCCAAAAATTCTTCCTAAAGAAGTTATAGCCACTTAAAAGAGCCACTCTGATGATGTTTTTTTTTAAATAACTCCGAAACCGGTCGAGATAAATTTATGAAATTTGGTAACTAGCTTTACTCTTACGTGCTAGGTTCGCTACTAAAACGAAATTTACACATTTTCATCATATACGTTCCAAAACTGGGGGGAGGGGGGTAAAATTTACCATAACCTTTTTATGCTTTGATTTTTTTGACTTTTGACTGAAAAGTATGAAATTTCAGAGGTTTTTAGTAAAAAAAGGTATTCTTGGTTCAGATTTGTAGAATGTTCCATTTTTGTGTAAAATACGTTTAAAAACAATGGTGCATGTGTGAGAATCGAAATTGTCAATATTGAATAAAAAAAATGCGTTTGGCGTCATTTGCAGTTCAGTTATTTACATTTTGCAAATTGTTATCAGTCGAAAATGCAACATTTTACGAATTTAGTCACAACAGATATTCATAGTCCCCATTTCTGATCCGACGAAAAATCCACGGGCAATACGGCGTACAAATTTTGAAAATAGATTTGCAATAAATGTCTGGACAGGAATTTTAGAGGACCAGCTACTAGGACTAATTCAGTTTCCTGTTTGTCTGAATGCAGAAGGATACTTAAACTTTCTGCAAAATGATGTAAGAGAACCATTGGATGATACACCGTTAAGCGTACACTTAACGTTACACTATAACAACATGTGGTCCCACCTCACTTTACCCATAATGTCATATTGGTTAAACGATCTCATTTTCCTGGCAGGTTGATAGGTAGAGGTGGCCCCATTCCATAGCCACCTCGATCTCTAGACCTAAATCCTCTAGATTACTTTCTGTGGGGTGGGATGAAGGCTGTAGTTTACGCTACAGAAATAAATCCTTTGGAAGAACTACAACAGATGATTCATTTGGCTACGAATCAAATAAGACAAAATAATTTTGAAGTTTTGATGTCTTCGCGGGCAATTCGATGTCGAACTGAAAAATTTATTCAGCAAAATGGAAATCTTTTTGAGCTAAAAATTACTATTGAGATAAAGAAGATACGTTTTATTAATAGTGTGGTTTTCAATTATTTTTATTAGTTTATTGTATTACTATTTAATAATTCCAATTGTTTTTTTTACTTAGTCAAATAATAATCTACTAAAAATAATAAATTCCTGTGAAGATAACAATTCGCAAAAAGTAAATAACTGACCTGTCAATGCAAATGACGCCAAACGCGCTTTCGTTCTTTACAACCCGCTACGATAGAAAATATTACTTTTATATAAAGAAAAAGTAATCTTTTTCGACATTGAACACACTGTAGAAATATTGCCCCCTAATTTCGAGACACCATGTAAAGTACATATCTTTTTAATAGTGCTAAACCAGTGGCGTAGCTAAAAATTCTTAGGGCAAAATGTGTTTGATACATTCTTATGCCAAACCATTATCTAAAAATGGAATATGTTAGTTAATGTTAAAAAACGTGTATTGTGATAACTTTATTAATTTTTTATTAAAAATCTAACCTTAATGTGGATCACTTAAATACAACGATATCTCAAATTTTATCAATTTATATGTATACGGGCTTTATTATTTCATTGTAATCAGCATTGTAAGCAATTGGCAAATTTTTCTTATTCATGCAATTCCTGAGACCTATAGAATTTTGAAATTACACAAAAATTTCTTAAATTTAACATTTTAAATCTGTATAAAAAGTATTATGAACGAAATAACTGATGAATTGGTGATGGGATAATAATAATTAATTGGGGGTAAAGTTTGAGATAGGTATAGTATTTAACTCTACGAAATCCATAGGCGTCCAGAAACAATTTGCCCTGTGTCGTCTAGATATACTATATTCTGAGCTATATTCCTATTTAGTTGACGATATGCTCTAATTTTTTGTAAATAATCTTCCGGAAGTGCAACTATACATCGTGATTCCATAATTACTTACCAAGTGAACCGCGTTCGACGCCAAACTAATAACATAAAAAAAATTATTTACGACAAAGTGGACCAGTACAGGTTTGCTTTGACGACCAGCGCGCCGCCGCCGTCGATTCTACATCAGGCGGACTTGTCTACCAATACCGGACTCGGCCAATGGCTATTCGAGTATAAATTGCGAGGCAGATCATGGCTAAAGCATAGGAAGAAATTTCAAGAGGAGTGCAGACGGTCACAGTTTCCAATTGATATTGTAACAACTATACCAGAGACTCATATAATGTTGATTAATGTTAAGTGGACAGAATTTGTATAAAACTGTCATAAAAATCATCGCGTTTAAAAGAAATCGCAGCACACCATAAACTACCAATTGGTTCATCGTAATTGGTTCAGTAAATACCTCTGTAGACCACTATAACCAGGGTGATTCAGTGACAATGTCATTCATTTTAACAAACTATTTTGAATGCTTAATAAAGACAGAAAAACGAAAAAAAATCACAGAATAAGGTATATATACTACAAACTGAATAATTAATTGAATATAATAGTAAAAAATGCTATGGACGGATGAGTGAGTGTTTTTTGGCCGTACTGTCATTTTAAGTAGTAACTGCCATACTACTCTTTGAAACGCCGTAAGCCACACAATATGTATATGTACTACAAATACAATAATTAATTTAACAAAATAGTAAAAACTCATAGTCAATTATAAAAGATAGTTAAAACGTTAACAATTTTAAAAATACTAAATAACCTAACATTCGAAAACAATTATTATCCTTATTCATTCGGTTTTATTAACAAATAAATAATACTTGTTAATTTAAAATGTAAAAAAATATCTTATTCATTCATATGTCCAGTTAAAAAGGTCTGTTATTGTTGTTCACTGTTAAAAATACAGTAAACTCTCGATAAACCTTTGTAGGTCAGCGTTCAGGAGCGGCTCGAAAAGGAGTTTAAATAATGATTTGAAAATATGCATTTTAAAATTTTTTAATTGCGTATTGTTATTCTACTATTTTTTTCCTATTTTCCCTTAAAATTAATGACATTATGACTGAACCATCCTGTATATAGAAATCCGTTCGAATCGTGCGTCCTAAAAATGTTTAATGAACCTGATGTTTAATTACACGAAAAAACGTTTTTTTTGTTAGCAAATTAATTGATTTACAAAAATTTGTTATACGGAAATTACACTTTATCTACACATAATTTTTTTTATCCTTGACAAGTCCAATATTATGGATGAGTTTTCCGAAAGAAAATGGTGTTGTATGTTCAAAGACGGAACATCTGATGTTCAAAACGCCCATCTGTGGTAACTGAAAATGTACCTACTCGTACTCGATGCGCTATTCATAAGTTCTCCTCAATATATTATTTTTTCAATATTGTATTTCAAAGAATCGTCCCTGACGCCCATGCATCTCGAAGAAAAAAAATACCACGACCATAAGAAAATATCATCATCAAATGGAAGCGGAAAAATTCTACGAACTCAGAATACAAAAACGCGTCCCACTTTATAAAATATGTTTAGCTTTAAGTGATTACCCTGTAGAAAAATGAATTCAAGTTGATAATGTAGAAACATGTTAGTAATTTTAATTGGTTAAATAAATTTTGTATTTTATTGAATTTACTTTTCAAATTAAATAAATATACTTATTAATGGCTTTGAGCCTTAACTTCAACTAAAACCAGTAACATTTATTTATTTAATCGATATACAAGGGCTTACCACCATATTGACAAAATGTTATCAAAACTTTATTTCACGTTTGGCAAAGGATATTTACTTTCAAGGTTGCATTACTTCGTTGTATAATTACAAAATTGATTCTATACCTCAAGGTTGAAAACATCTTTCATAAAAAAATCAATGAGACAGTCACAACCCAACCACCCCACCATCTCCTTGGTCGATATATCTTTATTATCTGGTCCTTGACCTTGACTTTCCAGTACTAATAATTAATTGTGAGACTTACGCAAGCTTCCAGGTAAACGATCGCGTGCTTAGTGTGGGGTGAAGCGGAATGTTATTTTTCATTTTTCCTACAGATAGAATCGAAAAACGCGTCAATTCGGTCGATTATACAAAATTTTACTGGAAGGTCAAGAGTGTCCTTTTTCCAAGTAAATGTCGTTTTGTAGCTTAGCATTTTCATATACAGGGAGACCCAGTGTCAGCGTACAAAAATTTACCAGGGGGTAGTCCAGACCAAAGTAAGGTTAACATTCTCATAAAATATTTTTCTGCGATGCACTCTCACTGAGTTACAGGGTGTTGTTTAGAAAAAAATAATAATAACTTTCCGCAGTAACTCAAAAATCCTTTCAGGAATTTAAGTAGTTTTTGTACATCTATTAAAGTTCATTAAAATTACTTGATGCTTATTTCGATCTGACGCCAGAGGCGGCCTAGGCCAACTTGTCGTCAAGGTTATGTCTTCATAACTTTTGCATATCCTAGTATTATGTGATTTGATTACGTTTTCCTGAATCTGCAATCGATTCTGAACAAAAAATGTCCTCTTGTTTCATAGCTCAAAAATGAACCGTTTTCGAGTAAATTAGGTCTAAAGTATCGACTGCATTAGTTCGTAGAAAAATGCATGTAAAGATTTTATTTCTTGTTATCTAGTAGGGACCTGTCATTATAAAAAACAAAATTGTTTAGTACAGGTACAATTTCCCGTGTAGCTGCCTGCGGCTCAATGTATATGAAAAAACTAAGCAAGTTTTCTATGAATTATTTAATATTTGGTTACGTAAAGTCGAACTAAAAATAAAATTGAAAATTATGTAACAGAAACGAAATTATGTTGCAAAATGAATACTAAAAATTAAAATAGAAAACAATTATTTCAATAAATGTTCAAATTGCT